TATAGACCGGTATGGGTCAGGCCGCCTTTTTAAGGTTGAGGGCATGTTGGGCCGCCCAAGTACGGTCGATAGAACTACCCGTCGCCCCGCTATCCACTAGGGCCTTTACTGCATGTGTCTCTCGAGTATCCAGAGTTTCCAGCTGCACATTAATAGATACATTTCACCCCTTCCTTCCTCATATGTACATGGGAGGTTTCTTTAAGTCCTCCATCCATTCCCACCTATCCCTGGACTCCACAGCCATCTCTGGCTGTTCCTTCAGGGTGGCACACAGATCCTCAGTTACTTCCCCTTGTCAATGTGGGTGAACCCAACGATTTAGGATGGCACAGGCGGCAGACTCAGTGGTAGCTAGTCGCAACGCTCGTCGGGTCCAATGGGTTCCAAACAGCTCATAGTACATGTTGAGGACAGCCCACCTGGTTTTGGGGGTTATTTCAGGGTCAGGGGTTGCGACAGAGTTCTTCTTGGGGGTCATGATCGGAATGTCGGACCGTAAGTATGCTTCTTCATCTGGTACTTCTTTGACCGTGACCTTGGAACATTTTGCTTGTCCTCGTGGTGGCATTTGGTCACCGGGCTGAAAAGGGTCCTTGGGCGGCATTTGGTCGCTGTTCAACGAGGTGGTGGAGGAGGGCTCTCTGCCCCGTGTTCGGCCCTGGCCAAGGGCGCTTGTGCTTGGCGTTGTAACCTCCATGGTTAATCCTGGCTCATCCTCTCTGGACCTGACTGTACTCTCAGTAACCCTTCGCGGACGCACACATATCGGCTCGCCCGTAGGGTTGTCACCTTTTGCTGCTGCATTCTGCGTTCATGTGGCTACTGAGTGATGGTGGTCCTCTGGGTTCCCAGCCTCAGCTGCTTTTCCAATGCTGGCTGATAGAACAATTGGGGTAGGCCTATCAGTCTGGGTTGTCAGCCGATTCTCCTTGTCGGGGCAGCTGTGACCACGTCTGGCCCCAGCCTGAACTTGACATGAGGGCCTCTCCGGTACTGCCAGAACTTTCCCCATGCTGTCAAGCAGGGGTTCCTGAGGTAGGATGGCCCCTCAGGGTTCATTGCTAGACGCGGGCTGTGTGGAGCGGCGGAAATCCCCTCCTATGCCATACGTGCTGGGCGATTCTTCTTCCTTAGTTTCTTCTATTGGTAATGCGGCGAAAAAATTGGTATATTGATCATACAGAGTACCTACATACATAGTATAAGTCCGACCAGCAACAGGAGAGCGCGTACCGATAGAAACTAAGTCCAGGGCCGATGTTGTGGAATCGCTTAGTGCGATGCCGGCTCATCTTTTGATGACTTATCATCCTTCACCTCTTCGATCTTTGTATCCTTCTCATTTTCCTCTTTCTCTGCCTCAGCGAGCAACTGGCGTAGTCGTTGAGCGGGTATCTTCTTGCGTGGGGGGAGTTTGATGGGGATCCATTTCGATTTGTCCGTTGGACATTTATGGTCCCAGTTCCACCCGGTATTTCTGCACTTGAAGCATCTCTTCTCGCTTCGCAGCTTATCAATTTCCATCGGCTGCCTGGCACCCCCATAAGTCACCCCCATGGCATCCTTCTTGTCGCTAGAACCTCCCAAAGCTCCTGCCTTTGCGGAGGGTTGATTTTGATTGCCTCGACCAGAACTGCTATTCGGGTTCTGGGAGGACTTATTGCCCTGATTTTGGGCCATGCTATACCGATAATTGGCATCAATCCTCTTGATGCGCCACTTCCACTCCGCGTATGTGGTGGGACGCATATTGTCCCCGTGCATGATGGTATTGTGGACCGTCGGGTGTACAGCGGCTTCGACGGCCTTGAACATCTGCTTCTCATCTCCGAACTCCTCGCACTTGTGAGCCAGCCTTTCAAACTCTGCGAAGAACTCAATGGCCGACTTGAAGTTGGCTTGACGAAGCTTCTTCCACTGTTGCTTCCAGATTGCTAGTTCTGCCACTTCTCAGAACTGCTTCGTCAGATCGTCAGTAAATTCTTGCCACGAGAGCAACCTCCAGTGCCCATTGGCATCCCGATATCAATAGTATTGGTCATTCCACCACTTTTGGGCCTTCCCTCGCAAGTAGGATTGGGCGAACATAATCCGGTATGGGTTCTGCCCAGCCATGTTGAGGGTGTAGTACATAGGGAATACCTGGAAATACAACTTGCAATGGTGTAAGTAGCGAGTGATGTCTGAGGACTCCCCGACAAAGTACTCGGGCTGTGTGATCAACTTGGGCTTCATGTCATTCCAGGGATTATTCGTTGCTCCGGGGGCCAACTGCCATTCGGGAATGGGGGGCGAGGTTGGCAGCACTGGCAGGATTGGCAGATTTGGCGGCCGGGGTAGCGACCTTAGCCTTGGGTTGGACCCCGGAGAGGGATATCCTCCTGGCCTGGGTGGTATTGGGGGCAGCAGTCCTGCTGGCGGCCTCGGGGGGACCGTGGACCCTTTCCCCTTGTCTGTGGTCGACGGTCCTGCTCCTTCATCCTCCATAAATCCCTGGTCCGTGCCCCCACCTCCCATGATGATCCTCGTTGTTTCCAGTGGGTGTGGCATTGGTACCAGTCGTTGGTAGGCCGCGCACCCTTGTCATGGGTATTCCGGGTTGCAAATATTCCAGACGATGGCAGCCTGGTGCCAAGTGTCCACTTTGAGGATATTCCTCATTAGGTATTCATCTCCCGAGAGTCTCGCGTCGAGGTAGTCTTCGCCCGCTGAAGAGGCTGGCTGTGGGCACCTGTGGAATAGTGAGTGGGCTAAAGGGTGAACCTCAAAAACCCACACACACACTCACACAACTACACAAACTACAATCACCCTCGTAAGTTCTAGGGGGAGCGATTATTTCTAATGCGATCCAACTATACTTCAATATCTCGAAGAGTTTCTCTTGTTCTCAGTGCTCTTAGCAAAGCTAAGCTTTCTCTAATGACTTCCTAAGTCTAGGAACTTTTTACAGGAAGGTCGTTCACTGGTGCGACGCAACCTTCAAGGCAGATTTGAGTTATAATACACAAGGGACACTGATCCCAACAGAAACAGAGGCAATACACGCTGAAACTTTAGTGAGCTCACTAAAAGAACACCACAGGCAAGCACTGACTTAGCCTGCTTGCTACACAACTGTATGTAGGGGTTCTCCAACTAACTCCAGCAGGTTATCTCGACTCAAGAACACTTCAGAAGTGCTCGGAAAACAGATTCAGAAATGGAACTTCGAACAGAACTGACACGGAACAGACTGAAACAGAACAGAACAGAACAGAACAGATCTCAGATTTCCACTTCAACACATTCTCTGAACAGACTTATCACACTTAACAGAACAGAAACAGCGTCACTGATTCGTATTCACTCTGACTAAGTTCTCAAAAGTCTTATCAAAAGGGTATCTCGTATTTCTCTGAGTGAGCTCGCTAATTCTATGCACAGCTTGAAGTCACAAACTGATCCTTTGTTACAGTACCGCCTTCAACGCGTGCACGGGAACTCGGGGGCTCAAAACTTTCCTCTACCTACTGTAACCAGTCTACTTATACTACAGGGGAATTAGAATTACAAACATCGCGCAGTACCCAGACTCCTACATGCGTAGCACGTTGCCACCGCCACCTTACTGAGCATCCGAGTCAGACTTCCCAGTTTTAGTCTCATTTCTATAGCGAGCTCACTAAACACGTGCCAAGAGGTGCTCTCCCGACACCCGCAGGCTTGTTCTCTAGCGACCAACAGGTCTAGGTGCACGGAACTATCAGTTCTGGCATATGTCATTCAAGACTTCTTTCTTAGATTCACAGAGGCTTCTCATAGACACGGCAACAAGTGAGTCTTCGAACAATGGGACTCAGAACAATGGAACGTGGGCTCGCAGACTTCGGCTGAAGCCCATTGCCCAAGCTCGTGCCAGTGATATCTGTCATCTCGCATAAGGATTTCCCCGGATTTTCAGGTACGGCGCATCACAGTTAGCGAGCACGCTAAGTATTCTCAGTGTCAGTGCAATCTTCAAGGTTTTATCTAGCTCCCACGAGTGTGCTTGTAAGTTAGAGCCTAAGGCATTGGGTATAGGGTTTGGCCTTCTCATCATGCATGTCCGTCAGGTACAGTGCTGTGACTAAGTCCTGTTTAGAATCCTGTTGCTTCTTATGCCATAAGTTATATTCCATATCATTGCACCGCATAGCATTAGTGTCGACACGTAGTTTTAGTCTGCTCGCTCACTATATCTCAGTATGCATGTAAAACACATTAGATTGCAAAATTACACGCGTAAATAGGCTGCAGTCGCAACAACGGTCAACTGTTCGAACTCCTCAAAGGACTCGATAGTTGGTCTTCTGATTTTTAAAGGTTTTCTCCTTCCTTGTACGATCGTGACAAAGAGATTTATTGTCCACATTCGTATGACAAATTTGTCCATAGTGGTACCTACAGATACGATTTTAATATGACAATTCTTGGATAAATGTTTACTGAAGAATTTGCGAGTCTTGGTGTACAAGGGCAGATTGCCTAGTCCTTCGTTGACACCTTCCCCTCAGCATTCGTTGTTGAGGGGTTTTTGCTCTGCCCTTTAAGCAGAGCGCTCTTTGGACCTGTCTGATGGGCATTTGTCATCCCATCTGACATGTCCATTGAATCCACAGCAGGGACATCGCTCCTTTGTGAATTCTCGCTGCTCCCCTCCTCCCGATACAGTTTCTGGGCATTCATGAAATGGCGTCGATATCGGCCCTTGCCTTTTTATCTTATGCCATTTCCATTTGTCAGTGGGACACCTTTGGTCTCGACTGAAGTGCCCTGTGTTTCCGCATCAGAAGCACCTTCTCTCCTTCTTGAGACGATCCATATCCATCCCTTCAGGGCACGGCGCGTCCTTGTACTTGGAAAGAGAAGGAATTCTCTTTCCTAGTTCGGGGTCAAGCAACGTGGTCCAAAATACCTTAGTTGGTAGGCATGGTTTGGTCCAGTTTCCCCCAGGTTTCCTTGTGTCGAGGGCGTCTTCAGTGCTGAAATTCAGCACCAAAGATGCGGATGGTCTCGTCATTATCCGAGGAGGTGTTGGTAAGGGTATTGCTGCCTTTCTCTGTCTCTGGGACTGTTCGGTATTCTTCCCCCACGAATAAGGGGGTAGAGAGTGAGTCCCATAGGTTCTCATTGATGTGTGTCCTGGCCATTGGGTTGGGCCATATGGCCTCGTATGAGGTGTCCGGCCAGGGTGATTCCCAACCATCCCCAGCTGTGGAATGCCAGGTGTCGCTGGCGGTTGAGTCAGATGACATGAGGGGTAGATCCCAGGATCCCTCCTCGGGGGTGATCCAGGAATCCACTGGAATGAGCGATCCCCTATCCAGTATCCCTTTTTCCTCGGCCACTCCTCTTTCTTTCCTGGCCAACTGGTGGATCCTACATGCAAGTCTGAGAGCGACCTGGTGATACCATTGATATACCTGGCTACAGAGGTAGTCAGATCTTTTTGAGGCGACTTCGGATTCGAATCGGATGACTTCCATTTTGTAGGAGGAGTCGGTGCCTGGGCTCCACCTGGAGACTTCTCCCTTGAGGGATTGTTCCCATGAGGAGGTACTGGGTCCGGTGTGGACTCCCCATGCCTCTCTTGAAATCTCAGTGGGGGAGTGAATTCCCCCTCCGAGTTCTGAGGCCTGGAGCATTGGTCCAGCATTTCTGGTCAACCCTGGAGGTTCATCTCTTCGATGTCCTCCTGTGTCGGTTCTACCGACTGTGGTACATCCTCCCTTTTGACCGACTCCCTGGGTAAGGAGGAAAGGGTTGTTGATTCCTTCAAAGGTGGTTCCTCGCCATTCTGCTTTATTAGCGGCGTTTCCATCATCTTTCTCCAGAGTTCGTACACTGATGAGTCGGCTGTACTCGTCGGTGTAGAACTGTTGAACGTCGGTGGTGACGGAGGTATTGGGATCATCCCAGGATCCGCTGATATCTTCCCAGTATCCGGTCGTGAATTGCGAATTTCCGGAGTACTGGGTCTGAAGGTGGTCGCCTCCTGCGATGGGGTGAACGGGAGTTGATCCATCTTGTGGGTAGGGTCGGGCCTTGCGATACGAAGGGTACCTTACTAGAGATGTAAGGGTTTCCAGGATGTGAGTGATGGTGGCACTTGTAGGATTCATACGGTCACCGTCGTTTAAACAATGGGGAGCGTATAAAATATTTCTGTAGGGGTGAGCAACCCCAAGAATTCGTTGTATAATGACAAGGGTTCCTTATTTAAATGCTCCAGATACTGTGATCATTCTGTTAAGGAAAACGACGAGGGCAGTCAAGGTAGAGTCTGTTACTTGCCCACTGAATGGGGGTCGGTGCTCTCGAGGGATACGGGTAATATGGATAACTGCAACTGCAGTTCGTAGTGTCAAGGTACTGAAGGTACTTCTGAAGATAACGGTGATGTAGGGGGAGAGGCACAGAGCTCGTTGTGCTTCAACGAATATCTATGGCTTCGAGGTATGGTGGGTGTCGTTTTTCGAATAATGGGCTGAAGGTTTCTTTTTCTTTGGAAGTATAACAGTGACTGCCTTGAAGCGGTACAGTTACCATTGACGACGGTAAGGGTAGTGAGGGCAAGCTTCGGCTAATTGTTAAGCACTAACTCGAACCTTCGCCAAGGCTGGTCTCTATCCTGTCACTCGCATTCGGTGATTCAGTGTTAGAGAGGCATTGGTAGATTGTGAGAAGTTAGGCATCACTTTATAGCGAAAGCAAGGAGCTTGTAAGAGTTAGGAGTATATAACCTTAGCCGAAGCTGGGGTCTAAGGCCACAGCATAGGCTAGCTTAAATACATGTTGGACTCGTACTAAGAATAGTGTCTACAAGGGCACATGCAGCGAGAAGTACGTCTTTCAATGAATGAGGAGTGGGGATACTAAAAGAAGTGTACTCCTGATGAATGAGAGTAAAGAGCGCATATCACCTGCATCTGTGTGGGACTCCGTCTGAATAGGCTGCATCCCGTAGACCACCCTTGACTGGCGGTCGACTCTCGTCCAACTACTAAGAAGCATGATGCCATCAAGAGAAGCATGATGGTGCATGCGGGTCATTGGTCACCTGGGAGGCGGCAACATGAACTGGGGTGACAGCAGCCAGGTAACCGGGTAAGGAGTGTGCCAGCAGAATATCATGGGTCCGAGAGATAAGATAGGTAGGTCCAGGGTTCCGATGGATAAGGATAAGATAAGATAAGGAAAATAGGGGTAAAACCGTAATAAACACCTGGTCCTTGGAAATGCGAGAATCCAGTGAGCCATAGAAGTGTCATTGGTTATTGTCTTGGCTGATCTGTCTTTCCACAAATAAATCATTACCCTTTGATGGAAATGATACTTCTATGGGTACCTTTGTGCTTGATTCTTGGGGTATCACAACTCGTTCTCGTGCATGTACCTCTCCCTAAGTGATGGCCTGTTTCCTTCTTTATCAGATTTTCTGGGACCAGTGGTGCATTCTTTGCTTTGCAAGACAGGATGTTGCTTCTGGAAGTACTCGCACCTGGAAAGTTCTGCCTTGAAAATCTACAATAGATGGCACTGTTGAACTTTCAACTTCTAATTCTCTTCCTGTGTCTCCAAAGACAAGGTAACTCGAGCCATCCCTTCATAGAATTGAGATTGAATATTGATCTGCAAAGTCATTTCCTAGTATGAAGGGGGTTGTCATCCTGTTCACTACATATGCATCAACATTGATTTTGACAGGCCCTTCCTGAGTTTCAAAGAAAAGATTGATGTTGACATAACCAGATATCATTGAATTCCCTGTTACTTGTACAAGATTTATTTTCTGACCAACATGGATTTTAGGTTTCAATGATAGGGTTTGCAAGGCTTCCTTTGAAATCAGTGTGATGTCTGATCCAGAGTTGATAATGACCTTCAAGACATTTAGTTTCTCACTATTAATTCCTGTGTAAGTTGCTGTTACTTTACTTCCAAGGAAAGTGCAACCTGGTGGTCTTTCCATGCACTTCTTTAGCTCAACTAGGCTTGGCTTACCTGACAATTTGGAGAAATGGTGAGAAATATGGAAGGTGCATTTAAATCTTCTCTGCAACCTTTCTAGATGTCACCATTCCTTCCTAGCAAAAGGAGGAAATCTAGGGTGGTCCTCATAGGCTGTACAGGCTGTTTCAGTCTTTATGTTGAGGGTGGTGACACTTGGTGGAGTTGTGGTAGATGGAGAGTCCACCTCTATGCTGCCAATGTTGGATGATATTCCCTCCAGGGCTGAAAGGTCATCGGTATCATTTTTGCATGGAGTAATGAATCTGCATGAGCTGTCAGTAGTCTGGAGGGATGAGTCAAAATCCTGCTCATCACCAAGCTCATAGTACAGGTCCTCATATTCATCCTGGGCTTGGAGATCCACAATATCTGTCTCAGCTAGCCGGGTTCTTGCGGTGCACATTCCTTCATAACAATGTTTGCATTCTGCATCCCAGTGCTCCCCGCTTCCACAGTTCCTACATGGCTGGGCTCTGATGTCTTTAGGAGCTTTCTTACATCTTGTCTTGTTAGCATTGTCTTTAGGGAATGGAGGATTGAAGGGAGTGTTCATAGCACTGATTAGGCGAGCATGAGAAGTATGATAAGGTGAGTTATACTTGTCTTGACTCTGACGAAGCTCATACATGTTCAGAGTACATGCCCGGTAGTTGGGATCAAGTCGTAGGTGTTAATCCTCATGGAAACGTATGCTTGCCTGAAATTCCACTGCAGTCTCATACAATTGGACAGTCAGTACTGTGTTCCAGTTCAATGGTGCTCTATCCATTACTTGACTGATTAACTCAGAGTCAGTAAGAGTAAATGCCATATTCAGCAACTCAGATTTCCAAATGTAGTATTCACTCAGTGACTCATGTGTATGTCCTGGTTGTCGGTATGTTGTCTGTCTTGCTCAATCTTTCTGTCATTCCCACCAATGCCAATTCATGTAGTAGTCAGTTATTCCTTCATGCAGCATGGCCCAATTCATTTCAAGGTCTAAATGATAACAAAGAAGCAACAAATAATACTATTGGTCAGCATCTCCTTGAAGTCTCTTCGGTGCAATATGGCCAAAGTCTTTGAAGACTGAATCACTCAGAGAGGTGAGGTCATTGATCTTCAATATCCAGGCTACAATGGTGTCAGGGTTTCCATCCCAGGTAGGGACATTGCCCATCTTGAGTTTGGTGTCAAAATGAATCCCAGAATTTTCAGAACATGTTGATCAAGGAGTGGTCTGTGGATGATGCAGTGATTGACGAGGGTGACTGTGATGACTGCAGCAGCTATGATGACTGTTGCCACCATCGCTCAGATCTGGGTCTAGATCAATGTTGTTCAGATTCTGAGTCTCCTCTTCTGATGATTCTTTATTGCTTTCCATATCAGATTGGGGTTGGTATGATGAAGCATGCATGCTCTTGTGGGCTCGAGGACTGAAACCATGCAACTTATTGATCTTGGAATTAGTGCAAAGTGATGAATGTCCCAGAATTTCAGCAGCTCTGGTGGAGAGTTGGGATGCATGTCGGGTACCATGTTATGGTTCTTCCTCCCCCACAGCAGCATGTCATACTGATTCCCATTCCCAAGTTGTGGGCAAATTTTTGGTTGCAGATTTATGATGTTTAGATGAGGTGAGGTTTGCAGTCATCTCTTCCTCTTCTAAATTAATACAAGCCTAATCCACATCACACTGTGCTGCCATAAGATCTTTATGCAGAATCTGGCATACCCCTAGATTGACCCAGTCATGGCACTCATCCAGCATGCAGAGGAAGTTCTTGACACGAATACAGAGATGTAATGTGTAGATTTCAAAATCATTGATGGTCAAACCTTTTGTAATGTCCACACCTCAGATTGGAATCTTTAAGTTGGAATATCTGAATGAGGCAAGGGACTTAGAGGCCATCCCATGATGAGTTGTGAGCCTGGTACATAGGTCCCAATACAGATTATTCCTCAGCTTATAGTTGGTCTCCCCCTGTGTGGTGGTACACATCCAAACATATGTGAGAAGTGTATCCATCATTGCTGTTTCTTCATGGAAGGACTTTGTGTACTGATTATGTGTTAGCACATGGGCTGCACATAAGCTATTTCCTACATTTGTGCTAATTTTGAGAATATGAAGGGCATGATATCTGTGCTCCTTGAGGTTTGAATGCCTTGCAAAGGTGGACAATGGAACACAAGTCAGCCAAGGACAAATGACTTCATGTATGCTTTCATCATCTATATGCTCAGCATCTGTAGGCACTATTAGAGGGACAAGATTTTCTGGGAAGGTGAAATCTTCATCTTGTGAGGCATGGATTGGTGAGGATGCTCTAGAGTTGAGGAGTGAAGTATCATCAGCCATTCAGACAATGATCCACCAGGAGAAGGATGAGCAATAGGTTGTTGGAAGAGGTCAGAAGAGTAATACAATGAATTCCTTCTACAAGGTAAAGACAATGTGTCCACCAATGTTAAGAATGTGGCTAATTCTTTGAAGTACGATTGCATAGTACTTAATCAAAGTCTAAGCTGAGAGCAAGTGTAGAATGTCAATGGGTTCAATTTTACCAAGAAGGCTCTGACCAAGAGTTTAGCAAGCACTAGGCATAGCTAAGAAGATCTGAAAAGTGCTTGGTATAGTTGGTAAGTGAGACATTTGGCAAGTGCTTGGCATAACTGACCTCTTTCACTTAGGTTCACACTAGGTTGGGGAGTCAAGAAGGTAAAATTAAGATGCCCCTCAGGCGTACTACGATACTCAATATATATTGTACTAAGTGAAGGTTCTGGAAGAAGATGGTAAAGAGAATATACTAGAAGAGTATCAAAAGAAATGAAAAGGAAAAGGAAAGAAAACCGAGGAAAATTCTATAACATTTGCGATGATTAGCACAGTAAGCAGTTGGTGACTGTTGACTAATATTACCTGACTGACATTCATAACAGGTTGCAAGGTCTTGTTGGTACCAAAACTAGATCACAGTGCTTAGGAAGAATCAAAGAACAAATGATGGCAGCTTCAAAATTTGGATTTGGCTCCAAAACACTCTGACCATGCAACTTTCAATGCATCAATAATTGGAGAGTCACATTATCACTTTCAGGGCTTAGCATATGAGTA